TTGTGTGCAGTCACCACCCCTGTCCTTGAAAACTGTGACGTCAGCATGTCCATGTTTACTTCCTGTTTACAGAATTAATAAATTAACAAATAAAAAGTCTTGGATGAATCATAGCCGTCTCCATGGCATTGCTCCTCCTTGTCATGACACACACACACACACACACACACACACACACACACACACACACACACACACACCACACACACACACACACACCACACACACACCACACACACACCACACACACACACACAGGACTTCTTGTTTGGGACAGTTCAGGTTAATGTTACATTTCAAAATAAGATAAATAAATAATATAATAATAAAGATGGTTAGTCCCACAGAAGAAGACACGAGTTAACAAATCCTTTCTGACAATGCACCCTTACACACTCTCTCTCACACACACTCCTAAATGCAGCGCTCCAAGGCACGGGGACGGTGGCAGTGGGCTACTCAGTCTTTTCTGTTTTCCCGTCTTTGCTCTGGGGCTCCCCTGTTTTCCGGAGCTGCGTCTTCTCTGAGCTGTTGTTGATCTGCTGGTCGTTGGGTCCGCTCGGCTTCCCGCCCAAGCTTTTGTCCAGGTAGTTGAGCATCTCACTCAGGACTGTCTGGAAGGTGCTGAGAGCGGCACAGACCGCCGGCGTCCCGAACCCGTGAGTGATCAGACTGTGTGTGGGGGAGGGGAAAACATGTCAGAACAATCACAGACTGTTGTTTCATTCAGGGGCACAAACACAGACATATGTAATACAGTTTGGGTTTGTTCCTGAGCAGACTTCTTCTCTCTTAAACCTTCCTCTCCTGCACTATGGAGCTTGTAATCCTCCTAAAAGAGTGTCTGTAATCAGGCTTACCCCTGTGAGAGCAGAGCTTTAATTGCCTGTGATGTTATAAATGTTTTTCCACCATGTCTCTACAAAAAACAATTGTAATTTTGAAACAGTTTTACCAAATGCTAGGCCGTAATAGACATTGATTAATTGATTACATTACATGTCACTTGTTAGACGCTTTTACCCAAAGTGACTTACATACTCAATACTGTGGACATCCCCACAGGAGCAATTTGGGGTGAAGTGTCTTGCCCAGGGACACAACGACATGCTGACTGCAGTGGGGTTTGAACCTGTGCCCCCCTGATCCGAACACCAACGCCCTACCCACTGCGCCGCACACCTCCATGAATCAATACCTGGCAATGTCCCCATAAGTCCTTTACTTTGCTGCTTTTCTTTGTTTTATACGATAGTAAACTGATTATTTTGAGGTTGGGCAACGTTGATGAGACACTGACAGACACCCTTTCAAAAGAACACTCAGTAATTCCTTCCTTTCAGTTTCTATTTGCTCAATAAAACACTTTTTAATGGCACACATCTTAATCCTGACTTAAACTCAAAGCGTTCCAATACTGTAGAAGAACAATAGTGCATAAATGAGGTTAGTCGAAACATAAACATTGACCATAAAATATCGATTTTAAGAATCCATTTTCCAATATCACACTGGTTTCTCCGCCCTCAGGCTGTTTTTGCAAAGCTAAATGTCAGGACACCTCTCAACTCAGTTTACGCTGCTGTTCAGTCTGCGTCTAACTGTGTTTCTACAACCGAACTATAGACACTACATCTCCTTGTTATAGGTTTGTAATCTGCGACGGGTGACGTTGTAGATGTGACATTTGTGCTAGCAAGCGGCTCTTCTGTAATCTGTGCCAAATAACAAACTGCACAGCTGCATCTTTGGAAAATGGCAACGAGCAAGCCGAGAAAACTGCAGGACAACTGTCTCGATAGTTCCCAATCTTAAGTGACTCCAGCTTGGAAGCTTTTCATCGTTTTAAGGAGCTTTGTGTGTTACCTGAAGTGTGTGAGGTGTCTCTGGATGTCCAATTCAAGGATGGTTGTCGGTCTGGACGAGCCCAGAGGAGAGCGGTCCTGGCTCAGTAAGTCCTGGAACTCCTTACAGATTTGCCTGATGGAGGGAAGGAGGGAGGGAAAGAGGGTTTACCATCTGTCCCCAACACAACAACTTATTCCTCCTTCATTTTGGATCAACACACTCTGTAGTTCCTCCCTGGAAACACGACAGGCAGGAGCTAGAAAGGTTCAATGTTGATCCAAAAACAAGGAAAACATTTGATACACAACATGATGCAAAACATTCTGCAAAAGTTTGATTTCTTGGTCTGTCTTTTTTATTCTGTTCAGTCTATAAATCCTTGTTGGGAGGACGTTAGCTGGTAAAGAGTGGGAGCTGTTTCCCTTCAGCACTTCCAGTAGCCACAGGCAACAGTTCTTGTTAGATTTCCTTAACAAACAAAAGCCTGATGGCAAGATGTTGTATTACATTGTCTTGAAATGCACAGTCGATGCTCTCTGCATGAAGTGTGTTAGGAGACGGAGTTTATTACATTTGTTTTCTTTTGTCTGCCTCTCTTAAAGTCAATATTAATGTTGGTCGGAGCACTTTTTATCAAAGGTTTCCCTCAAGGTAGACGGTTAGTAGTAGGACGACTATAAAGTGGCTGAAACTCTAATTGTGAGAAAAATTCAATTTCAAAATGATCCATTTTCTTGACCTTGTTGCACCACTTCAATTGATCGTGATTTTCAACAAAAACGATAGACTTGTAGACAAAACGGCAAGTTAAATGTTGAACTTTTGACTTTTTAAACCTATCGTCATCAGGAGAATTTCAGAATTAAACGTACTTTTTCTTGACAAAAAGTAACAAAAGCAAACTATTTCAGTGTCTTAGCGACGTCATTCATATGTAGATGAATATGTGTGTTCTTACTTTGTAGCCAGGACCATCTTCTTGCGTGCGCTGGTTTCTTTCGGCTCGCTGTGCTGCCTTGCCAAATGTTCCCCCACCGCCTTGCTGGGAAACTCTGTCTCGCAGGTGTAGCCGAAGTCCCTCGCCAGGTGGAGCGCCTCACCTGAGCACACAACCAGGAGAAAGACTGATTAAACAAGGGCTGAAAGGATTCAATATGAAAACCTGGAATATATCTGAAGCTGTGAGATAAGATACAGACGTTATTGGAAAGTATTTTAGGTAGAAATCCCTTACCTTCCACCAGGGATGTGAGCAGTGTGACGTTGGCAGCTTTCCTCCGTCCGGCCGGCAGGTTGAGGCCCAAACGGTCTAATTTCTCACGAAGACACCGGCCTCCATTCTTAGACTTCGCTCTGTGGACAAAATGAAAACACATATTCAAAACCACACTATGACTTACGGACATCAGCTTAAACCCTTTCAAACGGTGCAATATGGACAATGCTTAGGCCAGGGGTGTCAAACTCAAGGCCCGGGGGCCAAATCCGGCCCGCAACTTCATTTCATGTGGCCCCACAAGAGCTTGCAAAGAATATAATATGTTTATTATACGGTTACATGACGCTTTACAGAAGCACGTTGCCCATGAACTACATGTCCCACAATGCATCTCAAATTAGACTTTTTTTCTCTGAATTTTATTTTATTTTTTTAAATGTTACTTTTTTTTCAAAATGTCAGTTATTTTTTTTTGTTTTTCCAGAATTTGGCTTTTCTTTTTAAATCATTTTGTGACATTCTCACTGAAGAGACTTGCAATTATTTGCCCTTGACTTCTGCTTTCAGATGTAGTTAATTATGAAGTTATTACCCTATCCGGTAATAATGCAATGCAGGGGCAATAACATTATTTTATATATATTAAATATTTATCTATGTATTTTTTATAGTCTTAAAGTTACAACCGGCCCTTTGAGTGCAACCATGAGGCTATGTGGCCCGTGATGAAATTGAGTTTGACACCCCTGGCTTAGGCTATAGTGCAATACTCCGATCACTTACTATACTATACTATATAGTGCTGGACGCTTTTAGCATGATCTGGTTAATTATAATCTCAATTTTCTTTTTTTATTGAGGCAACTGTCATAAAACCAATTCCCCCCTAGGATAAATAGTCCTAAAAAAATATTTAAAAACATGTTCTCATCCTGATTTCATTCCATGACATAAGACACACAGATACCATCAGCACTGATCAGTAGATAATGAAACCACGAGCAAACCGTCGGTCCCTATTATCCTACAGAACAATATGTTTAATTAAGTCTTAGAAGAATATAGATTTGCTTTGATTTGACAAAGCTATGAAATTAAAAATCAAAGCGTGTGAAATTAAAACATGTCAACTCGTTATATATGAATTGTGCTTTTTTTACACATGGATATGATGGCATGTCCCCTTGAGTTTCCTCCGTCACTGTTTGAGCATTTGAGTCTCTCTATACCCAATAATAGCCCCTGTCATTTCTTCATCTTTTGTAAATGAGGTATTAAATCCATATGTGGCTACTTTCTGTCCGATAACACGCCTCAAAGATCCTTCTGGGATGTTTTGATTGAAATTACTGAGGTTTTTCTATCAATCTGTGACAAATCAAGTGTCCAAATAGAGATACCTGCACACTTCAAACTCATGAACGTTGATTGTAATTGTCTGATAGACACGATCGATCCAGATCAACCCCTCTCTTTGCACATGTTTGTTCATCTTGTAGTAAAGCAGCCATATTCTCTCTCTCTTCCCCCCTTCCCTTTCTCTCCGCCTCATCAATAATACAGCGCTGGCAACTCTTGCTTTCCTCTGGTTCCTCTGATCCTGGCATGCTTTGGCCTGGTCTCGCCTCCCTCTCTCCCCCCCTCTCTCCCTGGGCATGGCGGCGCGTGCAGCCCGGCCCCTCGCTCGCCCACAATAAGTCTTTGTGTGCGCTGCAGTATATCCTCTGTTTCATCTGAGGGCTCCAAAGACTCAGGCAATGCTTTCCAATGTCCCTCCCCCCCCGCCAGATTTACGCTTTAAAAAAACAGGTTTCACTTTTAAAATCCCCCCTTTCTGTCACATACTCTTCAGTGACATTTTGTTACAGGACATACAGGGGGACGAAATAACAAAAATAGTTTCAATTATCTAGTAGAATCCATATGAACAGCCCTGTGATAAATAAAGTTTTGATGTTTTTCGACCATTTCACTTGTACATTTACACATTTTTACTTGTTCATAAACCTGCAGCTGCAAAATAATACACGTTTTTTTAGGTTTTGTGTCTTACATGGCTTCAATATTTATTTGAAAATACTATCAAATTGTGGACCAGGGATCAGTGGATTTATTGGGAGCAACTTTATGCCATAAAAACTTGTATTAAATGGTCTGCAATAGGGATCAACTAAGTACTAAGTGTGTGTGTGTGTGTGTGTGTGTGTGTGTGTGTGTGTGTGTGTGTGTGTGTGTGTGTGTGTGTGTGTGTGTGTGTGTGTGTGTGTGTGTGTGTGTGTGTGTGTGTGTGTGTGTGTGTGTGTGTGTGTGTGTGTGTGTGTGTGTGTGTGTGTGTGTGTGTGTGTGTGTGTGTGTGTGTGTGCGCGCACTGACCTGCGCAGTATGCCGCCCAGTAGGGAGGCGTTCAGGCACTCTGGTGGGGACAGTCTTCTCTTCACCTCGGCGATGGTGACTTTGTACTTGGAGGTGGAGCTGAGCAGGGACAGGCGGCCCGGCACCGAGCAGAACAGATCTGTAGGGTTCACCACGCACGTTCCCCCTGCACACAAACACAACACATAGCAATGTTAGGCATGGAGGAAAAGTGTCTTGATAAGGTTGTATTGTTGAGTCATTTATTATACTTGATATTTTCATTTGAAGTACCTTAATCCATCACACACAGCACACATTTCCTTTTACACAAACTATTTTGCCCCTTTTCTTGAACTAAGGATTCACCACACAAGTTCCCCCTGCATGCAACACATAGCAATGTTAAGCATGGAACAACAGCAGCACTACAGGAAAATAAATAGTGTTGTCAGTTGAGTCACTGGATAAGATTGTATTGTTGCATTAGTCATGTATTTGTATTTGAAGTACCTTAAATCCATCACAGCACACATTTCCTTTTACACAAACTATTTTCTCCCCTTTTCTTGAACTAAGACAAACAGCCCCGTTTATCCCTATCATGTTGTGTTTTTTTATACTAAAATTGGGTTTTCAATGATCAGGAAGTTTTTCATGGATCAGTAAATAATCACTTCGGTGTTGCTTTTGTAAAAGCTGACAGGAATCGTCGCAGAAATAACTGGCTGTGTGTTATTTTAACAAACAGCCACTATATTACATTGTGTTTCCCTGCTATAAGAGTGAATACATGGTTGGCAGAAGTATTTCTCTAATGAGGCTGAGTGTCAACAGACAAACAAACATGAAGCATTGCAGCACCACTCAACAGTGGAAACATTAAACAAAGAAAAACTGTGAAGCAATCCAGCAGATTTAAAACCCTTCACTTGCTCTAGGTTGATAAAAGCTTTTTATAAATCATTGGTGAAATTGTACGTTGCACCTATTCTGTACTACAGTGACCGATGATGGGTCAAATGGAGGAGGCGTGTGGCGCAGTGGTTGTGTGTTGGTGTTCGGATCAGGGCGTCACAGGTTCAAACCCCACTGCAGTCAGCATGTCGTTGTGTCCCTGGGCAAGACACTTCACCCCAAATTGCTCCTGTGGGGATTGCCCACAGTATTGAGTATGTAAGTCGCTTTGGATAAAAGCGTCTAACAAGTGACATGTAATGTAATGTCAAAACATCATTAACAGGAATGCTAACCCACTTATACTTTGCATTTTTAATAATAGTTTGTTTTAACACGCACAGATTACAATACGAGAAACATTAGTGCTATTTTGCAAAAGTTCCTTTGTAGACACAAGAGTTTTGTTGGGTTTTTAGAAAGATGCATTATGCCAATGACACGTATGATATTTTCTGTAACACTGATTTAAAAGTCTATTAAAACATTGCAGAAATCCAGGTATTCTGATCCAACTCAAGTGCCTCCATGTGTGGCAATACTACACACAGCCATCAACAGCAGGTATAGTAAGGATTACAAAATAAAGATTTGTGTTTTTTCACATTTAATTAGATATGGATCGGTAAATGTGAAAAATTCAAGGAGGATATTCTCAAGTGCAGATCATTTTAACAATAATAATAATAATAGATTTTGACTCCCCGAAAGAGCAACAAGCAAATGAGTGCAAAGCCAGAAGCAGTGCAAATATTATGGGACCTCATTTAGTTTGAGGGATACTTCATTCTGTAATAAATTCTGCAAGTAATGAGAGGTTGCTGCAAGAGCATTTTTCTCTTATTTTGAGTGTAGCTGCTTCCAGGTCTGTGCTGAATATAACCCCTACAAATCAATGTAGACCTTGAAAAGCCTCCACTCATAGAAAATACATGTGCATTTTAGTCTAATGCATAAAAGTATGAATGTATCCTTAACCCTGAGGAGGGTAACTTTGGATTCGTACAAACTTTGTATCAGATCTCCCTTATTTGTAAAAAAAAGCAGCTATATATTGGAGGATAATCACATTTACTTTCCCTGTGTCTTATAACATTAAAATGATTCATCAAACAAAGATATTTTTATATTAACACAGCCTTTCTTTTGTCACAGGCAGTATGTTAATCCACATTTGTGTTTACACTGCCTCAAAAACCTGCTTCCAAACCCAAAACCCAAATTAAGGACGCGGCCTATTTGATCTTTGCACATGAAAACCATGCATCTCCAAAATGTCTCCCTTTCAAGAGCCAAGAAAAACAACCCTCTTTTGAGCTTTGTAGAAATATATTTCACAGATAATCCAACTGATTTTAAAATGGTCTATGTATTTTAAGAAGCAGGTGAAGTCTTTTAACCCATTTGAAAACCATGAATCCTTAAGTTTATCTAAAACTGACCAAATATTTGAAGATACACCTTTTTTTACTGGACACGTGGCTTGTTCACAGCCTTTAAAGGCAACATATATATTATTCAAATCTGAATGTAACCCAATTTGATAGTAAAGGCACATTTGATCCAGAAAATCTAGTATCTTCAAACACCAGTGGTGAGATCAATGTGTTTTTTCCTTTTCACTTGTTAAATATTACATTTATTACAATATACACATAATATATTTCTGTTTCAGCTCAATATTAGTCTGTATGTAAGAAAAGCCTGCTGTAATCTTCAATAAAAGCCTCCCTTCAATCACAAACCACCGGCTTGTGTTCTTGAGGCTTCTAAATAAACGATTGGTGTTGTGATGGTGAAGGCTCTCACATTATTAATTACACCTGAATCAGTGTAGCTGCATCCTTCTGGAATAAATCGACTGCTCTGCCTATTATTATTAAACTTTCACTTGAACTAACGTCCCAAGCAGCTGAAACGCAAGGTTTCTGTCTGATGTACTGTAGGCTATATTCTATTATTCATCTGCCTCATTATCAAATCTAACAGCAGGGTGTGTCGCTTTGTTATTAGGCCGTGCTGGATATGATGGAATGAAGAAAGGGAAGCCATTTAGGCCGAAAGAACAACGCTGCAGGCGACGATTGGCTGCACACCCAATCTTTCCAGGCAATGTGGACAATTTGGCCACCGAGTAAGCCGAGTATATGAGCAAGTGTAACCTATATTCTTTGCTCTGTGAATTATTTAGGTTCAGCAGAAATGCGCTAGTTTCTCTGGCCGCAGGAAGGCAGTCAGACAGAAACATGTCAGCCAGGTTCAGCACCACGGACAGCGACGTCCACTTTCTGTTAAGCACCTCTTGTGCAGAAGTGGAGGAGTGATGACGTATTTTTGGAGACCCGACACGGAAGTTAGCATTGCAAGGGTTCCCTCAACAAAATACATTAGAATTTTTCCATTGGATTTCGGAATATTGCAGAAAATAGGATATTAGGCATGATCACGGCACCTTTTGTTCAGCAAGATAATCTCCACATATTCACTCAGATTTTATAATTTTTAAGCATATATGCCTAAATCCGCAAGAAGTTAAAAGCTAACGTTGGGCTATAAACAACCTGCATTAAGGTCACATGACTAAGCTAAAGGGCGGCTAATGTTTGACGTGAGGACGTTTGTTAGTTTAGTTAGGGTACTTGTTAGTAGCTGCCATTTTTATGACAGATAAGCTTGAGAAATTCGTATTTACTGGCCTATTTTATGTCTATTTTAAACTTTTGAATCGAGACCCGGAAGTGGTTAAATGCAAACTAATTTCCGGGTTTTAGGACTCATTCCTGAACCTCTCTGTTGTGTGGCAACTATTGTACTCCAGCACTTTGCGCAAGGCAGTATGGGAGTTGTATTTCACTATGGCTTGCAAAAACGTTAGATTGCAGGTCGAGGGGAATCCATTGATAGGCTACTATTGGTTAACTCATATGTGTGTGTGCATGTGTGTGTGTGAAGTCCGGCTCGTCTGTGTCTGTGTGTGACACAAACCCTGCAGACCTGTCTGTCAGACTCACGCGCTCTGACAGGGGCGCGCGCCTCTGAAAGCCGTGTGTTCACATCATATTAATTCCCCTAAAAATGTTTTGATTCAAAGTAGTTTGTATTTCATGTTGCCAAGGGCAATCGAAAAGAGCTATTGCCGGTATAGTGCAGTCAGTGGAGCGCGCGGGCCCAGAGGCGATAACGGTATTTAAACGGAGAGTAGCCTCGGGCTGCGGCGCGAGCGGCGGGCGGGATCACACGCGGAATCAAGCGCCTTTTACGAGTTTGCCACGAAAATTAAAGAAAAAGAGACACGGGCCAAATGTCATTCTCCTCATATTCTAACAACAATGTTTATAGCTCCAATAAAAAGCCCGCCAATGTCTTTAACAGAATAGAGAGATGCACGTGCACGGGAGATGGACGGGGGCGCGCCTGACAGATCTGCTTGATCTGAGAGAAGTGGTGTAAAGTAAATAGGTAGCCTACATTTACTCAAGTAGCCTACTTAAGTACAATTTTGAGAGAACTGTTCTTTATTTGAGTATTTCAATGTTTTGCTACTTTTTATTTCCCACTACAATTCAGAGGTTAACATTTATGTAATATTTAGTTACTTTGCACAATTGGATGAATGATGTGAAATATAATCAACACTTAAATCAGACTTTAGTTACAACTCGAGTAAATTCACAAGCTACCCTGCAGTACACAAAGTCATTAAAACTAGCTGCACCTTTACCAGCTTTGATAACACTTTAATGATCAATAATTATAATCAAAACATATGATAGGCTATATTAGTCTGAAATGGGCCAATCTGCATAATGAGTCATTTTACGTTTTGTACTTTGACTATATTACTCTTATACTTTAAGTAGCATTTTGAATGTAATATACTTTTGCTTGTAACAGAGTAGCCTACTTAAATACAAGATCTCCTTCTCCCACCTCTGTTTGAGCATGCTGTTATAAAGCTGAACTGGAAAAGGGGATAGAGGGGGATGATTAAAAACACAGACGACTCCTCCTAAGTAGGATCCGCGTTTCTTGAGTGATTTTCTTTTGAAAAAGGTTATGTGAATATTCATGCCGCCAAAGCCGCAGTCAGAAAGAACAACATTAATATGATCTCGGCTGAATCCGGGGCCCCGCGCGGCATTAGCATATCAAAGCGTGCGCCCGAGGCGAGAGAAGCTATCGATACGGGAGCGCGAGGTAAAGCAAAGATTATTGGTTGTGATGGTTGCAGCGGCTGAGCTCAGGGCCAAATACGGCGCACCATTAACCGAAAGTGATAGCGAAGGGATTCCCGCGTCAATCCGAGAGAAAAGCCCCAACACCTAGAATGAGCTGATGAAAAATTAAACCCGAGACACAGCCTTCCTCTCTGTGAGGAAAAAAAACACACATAGTTTAAAATATCTATGGCTTTGATGGAGCTAAAAGATGGAGTGGTAAACCCAGACTAGTGAGGAAATAGGCTGGCCTGATGTCTGAGTCCATCCATCTCTTAAAAGGCTTTATTTTACTGTATCTGATTTAACAGTTAGCCTAAATAACAATTACAGCATTTAAGATTAACAATTATTAATGTTATCTGGTCTACATTACAACCCACAGATAAATACACAAGACAAAATAATAATATTTGCCCAGAAGCTAAATGAACATTATGTGCAATCATTTACAAAATACATTATTGACCTATAATTTAATTTGTAGACCCTTTAGTTTGTTTAATGAAGCCGATACAAACGATTACAAATAGAACTTGTAGCAAACATAACAGGGTTATTACTTGTAATAGTATCCATGTTTTCCCATTTTTTTTATTAGGGGAGAGGTCATGAGCTGCAATGTTTGGGGATCATGGTGAATTTATGATCCAAAATAAGCATGCATATTACATTAAAACAGTGTGTTTATTTAATAAAAGACGAACCGTCAGTCTGCTCTGTTAATAGCCTACAGGGTTGACTTCAAACAGTCTGTTATGGTGCAGTAATGATATAATATGTCAAATGCACATCTGGGTGAGAACTAGGTGTGCATTATAAAATCATACTATTTTTGGTTTTTGTGCACAATTGAATTTACCTGGAAAAAACGTAATAACATTTAGAGTGAAAGACAGAGCAGGGAAAAGTACTCAGATCTTTAAGTTAAAGTATAAGTGCCAGAGTGTAGGAATATTCTGTTACAATTCAAAGTCCTGCATTCAAAATGTTACTCAAGTAAAAGTACAAAAGTATTGGCATTCAAATATATAAAAGTACCATTATGCAGCCATTTCAGGGTAGCCTGTGAATTTACTCCAGGTGTAACTAAAGTCTGATTTAAGTGTTGATTATATTTCACATCATTAATCTATATCTGTAAAGTAACTAAATGTATTAAATAAATGTAGTGGAGTAAAAGTAAACTATTTACCTCTGAATTGTAGTGGGGTAGAAGTACAAAGTACCTCAACATTGTACCTAAGTACAGTATTTGAGTAAACACCACTGAGGAAGTGTCAGTTAGAATAATGCAAATAATAGTAAGTATACACTATCAAATCATATTAAATCATGACTTTGTTGACATTTTAATTTCCTGGATATAAAACTCAATGACGTTTCAAGTGACTGATAAAATCCCAGTTGAGTGACAGTCCATTTCATAGTGGAAATGTGAAGCAGTGTGTTGGTGTTTAAATGGAGCCGCTCCTGTAACATGTTGACAGCAGACAAGAGAGAGGAGCAGTTCCGCTTGTTTGTCTGTCTGCTCGCTGTCGTGTTGTGTTCACGGTCCTCAGGTACAACAATAGAGAGAGAATAAGCCCTTACCTCTCTGGATGACGCCCCCTCGGCCGTTCAGCACGAGCCCACACTGCGCTTCCACGGAGCCCTGCGGAGACACACACTCATTAGCACGAGCCCAGGCAGGTGAAATCACTTCACCCAGATGTGTTTCACACCGCTGGAGCACAGGGTACCCAGCTGCTTCAGAAACACCTTGAATTAATGGGGTTTCTTTCGTTTGTCTTGCGAGATGTGATTCTTTCTGATAATCAATTCACCATCAAAATGTTTCCTCTAACAGAAACCTAATTTAGGCCTATGAAATAAGGCTATTGATAATTGCAATGACAGAACAAAGAACACTATAATGTAAACATACATTTCTTGACATCAGCAGCTAAATAGTGGGTATAATTATTCAGTATTATGTGTCCTGTATATGGATCCTTATCATTGGCTTGTCTCCATTTGAAAGTACGTTCATTATTTACCCATCCCATAGTTTTTCATTGTGATAATTTAAGCAGCATCAAGGTATTAGAGTCAGTAATTCATAAGAACACATTGTGAATAGGTACAAAACAAGCATTTTTGTGTAGCACAATACATGATTCGACCCCTTTAGGGCTGCCCGAACCACAGGTTATGAAACACTAAACAATTTAGGTTAAGTTTGGTTATAAAAGCTAACATTTTACATTACATCCTCTAAAAAACATTGGCCCTTTGAGCAATAGTCAGTGGTGAAAGCCTTTTTGTTAGAAAGTGAACGTCACTTAAGGCTTTGAGTAAAATTGAGGGCACAGTAAGATAAAGGATGCAGCTCACGGCTCACCCAGAAACGAGCTTAATTTGAAAGGCTTCAGGCTAAAAGCCAGGACAGCACACCTCGTCCAGACTGAGAATGAGCTTTAGTGTCCAGAGTTTGGTTTCAGCCACCAACCTGTTGGGGATCACTATATATAGCACACACACACACACACACCAACATAATAACACTAACACACACAAGCTGCCAATAGGAAGGGAAATAAATCACATGACACCTGCATTTCCCTCATCTATGGAAAGTATTCAATATACAAATATGAATTGTGCTTGTTTGAACGGTTAAAAACTATTATTGCTTGTCATTTCTCTTCACTATAACTCCACAATATGTAGGATGTACTCAGTAGTAAACAGGTTTCCATATAGATAAGCCCTGCATGTACACAGTAACAAGCAAGCAAAAAAAACAATACACACACAAGAAGCTGTAGGAGAAAGGGAAATGTCACATTAAATCACTACATTTTCCCCATTCATAAACGGAAAGACAATATTCAATATGGCTCTACAAATATACTGTAATGTGTGCTTATTTGACCAGTTAAAATCCATTATCTCTTGTCATTTCTCCTCACTATAACTCCATACAACATGTCTCAACCCTTTATTTATTCCCATACATTAAGTAGTAAACAGGTTTCCCTGAATGTATGGAAACCTGTTACAGTCGCCATTTTGGTCCAGATCAGACTCGCGTGCTATCAACAATGTCATCAAGAAAGAAGAACACGCGCTTTTTATTCAGAAAACACTTAATCCCTCGTGCGAGCCTCGAGGCCTGGCCCACGCAGAAAGCCTGATTAAAAATAAAAGTGAGAAAAGGGAGCTTGTTGTAGTTCTTTCTTAACCAGCTCCTGTTCCCTTTTCTTCTATTCCGAAGCTAAAGTGATTATAAAATCAATATACAAAACGCAGAGGTCTTGCATGAATTAGCTTAGTGACGGGAGAAAGGTGTGGCAGCTGCTTTTGTTCAGCATGAAAATCTCTTTAACGCTCAAACATGCGACCGAGCTGCACGAGACCATGGCCGCATCTGTTCCGTTCAGACATCCGCCTTGCGCGAGCTCAGGTTCACGAACCGGCTCTTTCTTTTTCTCAATAAAAGGGTCAAACCTGGGCTCTTTTCAAGTGCCAGCAGCTTATGAGATAAATATGGTATTTGCTTTAACAATGATCAAGTGAGAGCCTTGAAATTAACATAAAATAACTTACTTTGTATCACCTACTATTAACTTTAAACGGTTGCCTGATTTAACAAAACATATATTTACAGTAGATAAATTACATTTTTTTTATCGCGGAATTACCATTATTGAATTTCACATATTAAAAAAGTATATGGGAAATTGTGATAACATATAATAATGATAAATAAAATCATGCAGGCACAATTGTATTTCTTATACCTTGCAATAATATTTAAGAACAGTTCACGTTATTTTTATTTAATCATCAACAGTCTACACTACCACACCCTTTAAATAAAAATAAATAAATACATGAAGCTGAATAATGTTATGTTTTTTTATCACGGAATATACATTATTTAATCTAACGTAGAAACCGTATTTAAAAAGTGCAGAAATGTGATTAAAAAATAACAAATTGTAATTCTCATAAATTGCTGCAATATTTAAGGACAATTCACGTTTTTTTTTTAAATGTACTCCTTCCACTTCCTTTAAATAAAGTAAACTAAATTAAATTAAAGAAAACTGAATAATTGTTAAAATAATAAAAACGTATTTTTAACGCCTTTAAAATATAATTGCTGTTATTATTTATACTATATAAAAATAGTGTAAAAAACGTAGCGTAAATGACGTCTACAAATTTCGATAAAAGCGACTCTGTATCGAGCTGATCTGGAGTTGGTAAACAGTAAACGTGACGGAAATGATGTGTCGCTGTGTTAAAGTGTGTTTAACTAGAGACGTGTTTTAAGCAGCTCAGATGTCGCTGCATAAGCAACAAAGTTGATTGACGTTAAGTCGGTAATTGGATAAACTACGGTGCTTTATGGTGCTGCAGCAGGGCATTGTGCTCTGAACCCCGATCCGTTAATCCGCCCTTTACCGGAGAATAGAGCAACCAGCGGCTTTTCTCTGCCTCAACAGACAGCCGGACACACACACTCACACATAAGCACACACACTGACACACACAAGAGCCGTGCGATTCATCTCCACCATTTCTTTACATCGAAAAGAATTATGTAAAATATGGGTCCCGTGTGTTTCAGGGCAAAATAAAGGGCGGATTTCACAATGGGATTGTATAGACTGCCAGTCAATTAACCTTTAGAAAACAGGCCGTCCTTTCAGAGGCGCTGCGCCGGGTGCACTTGACATTTACTCAGCCTGTTGTACAGTCACGTTTGGTTTGGCAACAAAATCATCTCAAGATCCAACATTATTTACTCCAAAGTAGGACAGAGTGGGTAAAAAACTGCAGGCTAAGTGTAATGCCGCTTGGTCAGTGTCATAGACAGCAGACAGGAGAAGCAGACAGGCAGACAGACAGACATCTGGCACTGTCTTTCTGTTCAATATTTGGGAATTGCTGTTTGCTGGGGGGAAGGGGGGGGTTCAATAGTAGGCCAGTGGGGCAGGGATACTGGGTCTTGTAAGGGTTTGTATTTTATCATATCTCATGGAGCAGTGTAAATTAACCAGTGAAATGCAATGGTAAGAGTGTGTACAATGAGGTGTTGATATGAGCATGGGCGGTTCTAACAACTGTAACACTGAGCTTGGGCCCCCCTGTGAACCCCCTCAAAAATAATACATATGATAACGCAATTTGGGAAGTTTTGCAGCCAACACTATACTCTAACTTGGGCCAAAGATAACAGGAATGGGGTGTAATTAAATACATTGAAACGAAGTTACTGAGAACTCCTGTCACTAACACCAACACATATTAAGAAATACAATATTTGGCTGCAACAATAGGCTATGTCTTACCCTAAACTGCATTTAGGTTAATGGTAAAGTAAATCAACTACAATTGCAACTATGCCCCTGACACCAATAATGGTATTTTATATATTTGTTGTGTACTATGACTTTATGAACTGAGTTTAAATCTTGAACACTGCCTTTGTCTCCCTTGTCCTCTCATTCAATATTTCCCCCGGCAGTAAAACTTGTCTAGGACCGCCATTGGATGTGAGGCCTGGAGGTGGTGTGTGTGTATTATCGGACAGAGTGTTACCTGCAGATCTTCTGACCCGGACGATGAGAGCCCCAGGCCGCCGGCGGGCAGCAGCCTCTGGTCCGCATGGTGCATACCGACGCCGTAGGCCTGGGAGCCGTGTGACGTCATCAGCGACAGGTCGTGGCGCCGATACGCGTCGAGACAGCCGAGCTCGCGCCGCTGCTGCTCGTCCAGGCACGAGGACTTGAGGGCCGAGCGAGCATTGTGCAGGTTGATGAAGTCCGCGGGCTCTCCGTGGTGGATCTGCTGGTAGTACTGGCCCGAGTGCAGCGAGTTGAGCCCGTAGGCCTCCGGGGCCACGGTCGGGTGGGAGTGCTGGAACTCATAGTGGAAGGACTGGTGGTGCAGGGGCGTGTACTGGTGGTTCGCGGAGAAGTAGGGCGAGGCGAACTCCGTGCCCGCGGGCGCCGGGTAGGTGAGCGGGGAGGAGGAGGAGTAGGCGACCGAGGAGTTGGCCACGGACTCCAGGCACCCGAGCTGCATGAGTCGGTAGCTGTTTGATCCGTCGTGACGTATCTACAAGATAATAAAGAGACGGGGAGATATATGAGCCGCGTGTCATTTAGCATCAGCCGTGGTGTCTCCTCTCTCTGCCTCCCAAAACACACGCAAAAACACAACTCACACACTCAAAGCGTTTTTTTTCTCCACTTTAAACCACCTGAAGGAGATGTCATTTCCACACGCCCGGGAGGGGAACACGGCAACAGGAGCCATCGGTATTTTTCCCCTCTCCCTTTGGCATGCCTGTCACTCTCCTTGCAGCGTTTTAAAAGGCGTGCTGTTATATATTATTATTATTACCGAGCTGCTGGCAAATGTACTGTCCCTGCTCTCTCGCTCATTGTGGATGGGAGGTAAGCAGAGAGAGACACAGCGGAGTGAACCGCCCTAAAATGTTCTAATCACACTGTTATCTGCTTCCACACACATAATAAAAAGCCCCGTTTTTACCGGTTGCTGCACAAAGATGAACGACTCATTTCTCCCATGCATTTAATTATTTTATCCAGTAGCCTAATTCAAGTAAGCGAGGATATCCTAATGCGTGCGTATTTCTAAACCAACAATATTTATTCTTCCACACACCTGCTATAATTTCAGTTATAAGTAATTAAATTAGCCTACCTCTGCGTCGTGGACAAGTCCGGGGAAGGTCGCTGACATTGTGTTTTTTCTCCAAAGTAACCCCGTTTTTTTTTTCTTTCTCCGCACTCTGGTCCGGTTGAATGGTAATAATAAAAAACGCGTTAAAATCCTCAAGAAGCAAGAGAAATGGAAAAGTCCCCCTCGCCTGCTCTCGGTATCGGCAGAAAGCAGGAGCGTCTCCCCTCTGCACGGACGGGGCTGGCTCACGGATTTTGTACTTGCAGGGTATTTCTCGGCTGATGTCGTAGGTCCCTTGGTAATATAGAAGTTTTGAAAATTAAGCATCAGCACTGAGGAATGGGAGGACAATAGACGGAGCGGAGCATCCCAGGAGACAAGGAATAAAATTGTATCTTCGCTTTAATAAGGAACCGAGTGCTTCTTTCAACATTTTCTAAACGCTTTTTGTGGACATTTTCCCTTTTTGACCCATTTGTATTTTTCCACAAGACTCGCTTTCGACGTGTTATTCTTTTTTTTTTTTATTCACATCGGCTATGTTGATTTTACAAAAAAAAAGTACGGATTTTCAACGGAAATGTAAGTTTGCTTTGAAATATTATAGCGTTATTTTTGACAAATAGCAACAGGATAAAACGGCATTTTCGTTTGTTTTCAGAACAATCTTGAGATGGATTTATTTATCTTCGATGGGGAATTTTCTTTAGAAATTGTGTGTTTTCGATGCTTTCTGCATGCCTTAGATTCATTTGAATTTTTACTGTTTTATGGCATTTTTTATTCTATGGTTTATTCCATAATGAAATATTTACAAATGTATGCTTCACATTTCCATGTAGGGATTTATGTTACCACAACGGATTTATTAATAAGATAGCATCCTATATTGAGTTTATTAATCAAAATGGCTTCAATTAAAAACCTTTATATACAGTGTATTATGACTTAAATGTATTTTATGTGCAAATGTGCTAAAATATTAATCAACGCTGCTTTTTTTTTCGTTTTAGTTATTTTTTACTCTTGCTTTGAATATATATAGACTATTTTTTCATTTCTTTTCATGGGGGGAGGGGGTTACTATGAGTGTTGCCTTTGTGAAAAGAGACCTTTTTATGTATTTTAATCAGCATTTTATGTGTATGTGTGACTGAAAGAAACGTGCGAGGTTTAAATGGAAAAATGGACGAGTGTTGCTTATTATAATTATTAATATTATCAATATCATTATTGTTATATTTCCCAGCTTAACGGAGCCATTGTTGTAGAGGACAATAATATTGGATTTAATTTTTGTTTGTTAATATTTACTTGAAAGAACATTTAAATAACACACTTCTTTACCTTAAATTATTTTCTGACATTTTTAAGGACAATAACAAAGCATCAAACAGTAACAGGTGCACAGAAACCACATGCACCGCGAGTATATAGCCTAAATTATCAGAATGAATACACAGCCGATTGCTGCCTTGCCCTTAGGCCACCCGGGAAGCAACAGAGATACACAACGTAAAAGCAGGAGAAGCCCAAAGCTTGTGGCCACAGCCTGAAGAGAAGCAAAGGGAAATAAAGGAGAGAGGGGGGGGGGGGGGGCGGAAGGAGGAGAGAGAGGAGAGTCTGACAGATTTCCTGCCATTCAAAACAAACCAGAGAGAGAGAGAGATAAGCCCTAATCAGTCTTGTTTTGGATGTTTTTTTCCTGCTCAGCTGTAACTGTAACCAAAGCGACTCCTTGATATTATTAAAGTGCAGGCTGCAGACGCCGGGACGCCGGATTGACTCTGCACTTTAATTAACAACTATTTCCCCTCCCATCTGTTACCGCATCTCTCTGGCCTAATCGCTTACAATAATAATATTAATAATCACAGCAACAACACAATACGCTATAATAATAATTAGTCTAATTCAGACGTGTAAATAACACAATAGATGGGTTTTTTAATAGAGAATTTAATAGGAATATATGTTTTTGCTCGTTTATTATTGATTTTTCCTCATATGGTGCCATATCTCCAACTGTAATCACGTTGGTCACAGAGCTAATACACCCCCCCCCAAAACAAGCTTAAATATTCCACAAGATCTCCATTTTTCTTCTTGATCAAGACTGTTTAGCCTTTAGTGAAGCAGTCATATCTGAAAAAAAGTCCACAACAAACACAAACGGTGCCTTAATAGCCTCCTTTAAAAAGTTCTCAAGGCCTTTTATATTTTAATTAACCGGTACCGATTGTTTTGCCTCGGGGCTCGACGTGAAACCTCTGCACGACGAGACCGGTGAAGGCCAGTTGTCGCGCGCCAGGTATTAAAAAACGAAAGAGAGAGAAGGAGGGGGGAGGGAGGGGGGGGGGGGGGGGAGGGGGAGGGAAGGATGAATGGGAAGGCCACCGGGCAAAAAGAGATGGAGAGAGCAAGAAAGAGCTTTGGAGTCAATTAAAGCACCTTAAGTGGTTCTTAATGTGGTCATGTGAACAGGGTTTTGTGTTTTTTGTCTTATTTTGGACTCACATTTCTTGTCTTGGGGAGGAACTTAATCTAAAAGGACATCAGGAGGGGTTTTCATGGAAATCTGACATATATTTTGGGAATAGTAGTTTAACGTGTTTCCTCTCCTCATCATCAAGATTGGATCAAAAGACTGAAATGTACTGAGAATATATTCTGCAGGTTTCAGAGAGAGACAGAAAAGAACAAGCATGGCATTAAATGCGAACCTTGCATCAAAATTATTTTTTTAAATACTTAAAAAAGTATTACAGTGGCTTTACCCCAAACTGTGCACACTCCATTGCTGGTGTCCTAACAGAAACAGCGCGCATGAAGCCCCATTTAGTTATTTATGTCAGGAGGTTTTGGTGGTGTTGCCCGAGACAATAAATATATGTTGCAGGCCACCGTCGCTCGCCACTAACCCGAGGCACCAGTTGCACGGTAGACGGTCCTAATAGGGCTTAATGCCGACGAGTGGCCCGCGTTTACCGGGCTTGGAGGGAAGCACCAGATGCGCTCTGATCTCCGGACAGGAGCCAGTCCATCTGCCGCCTGACGAGGCAGGGAAAAGGCCTGAACCCCGCACAGTTCAGCCAGAGGCGAGATTTAGATCAGCCCCAAGGTTTCTGGATGGCCGCGCTCCTGCACAGACATGGGTGCCACATTTCTAGAGAGTTAGGATATAAAGCAGCATGGAGAGGCAGAAATTAGGATCTGAGCTCAGATGTGCCATTTGATAGGCTATCTTGTGCATTAATATACTTGTATTATTGTAATTTAAGAGAAGAAATGTGTCATGTCAGAGAGAATTACAGACAACAGTTCCCCTTAAATATAGAAATGTGGTAACACCTCTACCACTATATTTCTAGACAAATATTTTTCTAAAAACGAATTATACTCAGTTTGTTGTTCACTTTTGATTACATATAATACCAAACAAAGGACTTGCAGCTCAAGGTTTATTCTTAAAAAAATCCACCAGTTACACTTCATATGAGGTTCATTATGTAAAAAACTAAACCAAACCACAACATTTCCCATGTGTTTCTAAGCGGGTTGTCACCCTATCTGTTGGATCAGCCTGCTTGGTTTAAATGGTTTATTAGCAGACTACAACTTATAATATCAGATACACTATATAGCCTGCAGTCATTTAGCGTCTGCACACAGTAATCTCTTATAGGCTTTAAAGCTTCTATAGTATATTTTCAGATTGTGACACTTGTAGTGATGATGCTTGAGTGGGGATCCATGCTTACAGTGGTTATATAATCTATAAACGAGAGAGGTTTATGTTATTTTATTTGTCACGCTTACCCTGTTGCTGCTTTGTACAACTGAATTTCCCCACGGGGATTAATAAAGGTCCTCTATCTTATCTTACTTTTCTTTTGCACGCCTCACATAAACTATTATATTCCTCGTTAAGTCTGAAGTTGAGCAGTTAGAAGAAAAGGCATGCTGTATGCTGTCTATGCGCACATGTGTTGGCCTTGTTGTTGTGTGTGAGTCTGTTGTGGTTTTTAATCAGCCCGGTCAGACACCGGCCTCATATGGCCATAAAGCGTCCGTTAACCCGTCCTGCAGCCTCTCTGTGTCTGTCTGTGTGTGTCTGTATAGGTCTGCACCTTCCAGCCTAAATAACGACTGGCATAATGAGAGCAACCATAACAAACGGCCCAGAAGATGTTTGTGTTTCTCCAACAGCAAAAGCAATAAGAAAATGGTGTGGTGACCTACATAAAGGATGCGCCTCGGAAGCAAGCACAGGTTATATGCTAATATGGATCTGCTAATTGTGGGGATTTACTTGTCAGTTTGCGGAGGGGAGGGGCCGGGCGTCTCTGCCGCCGCCTTGTTTAAGCCTTCAAGAACTGCAGCAAATTAATTTCTCCCCATGCAGTGCGTGAGGTGAGGAGGAAACAGGTGGTCGCTGCTAGATGGACACTCAGGGAGAAACACATGAATAGATATAGTTAGAGAGATCCTTATTTATCCCAAATTGGGAAATTGTTTTGTCACAGCATGCATTTGACAGTCAACGTACAAGAATGACAAAATGTCTTATAAATAGAATAACATACCAGTAAAGTCAACATCAACAACAACAAATATATACATATTCTCAGAAAATACATACATTTGGAGGAGTATACACACTATATAATATACAGAAACAATTGGAATACTTTATAGATAGATAGATAGATAGATAGATAGATAGATAGATAGATAGATACTTTCTTTAGAATTAAGTACAAATAAAGCAAACATTACAAATTAAAAATAATATTGAAATGTTCTCAGAAAATACATAATTCAAAGAGTAATTGCACACTATAAAAATACATACTAAGTTCTCTATTTTACCAATCCACTAAAGGGACATGAACATATAAACCATAGTGTTCTATGCTACATTAAGATATTGTGTACAGTCGCTTTTACTTAAAGTAAATATATGCTGCAATATGTATGAAAGAAAAAAAAGACGGACAGAAAAACACAACAAATGTGAACTTTAGTCTCATATGTTCTTGCCTTTTATTCAGGGATTT